AACAACCACATACAACTGCTTTTCAGTCTCAAAATAATAATTTTTTTAGCCCACGATGAGCCGACAACTTGGATCCCTACACCGCTCAAATTCCCACCCAACCAACCTCAACAATCCAATTACAATAATTCCACTTTTTGCTTTCCCGCCACCCGATTTCCCAACCAATAATGTAACATCAGGCATGAATTCAGACACTAACTCACATATCTCAGTTTTATACTCCATTTCACAACTTAATAACCCAGATATTGAAACCCCTGATGAATTTGCCGACTCTGAACCATCTCCATCTAATAATTTTCAAACCAATCCCTCAGTTTTTTCGAAACCCCCTTTTCAACCAATCCCACCATATAACCCACTCCCATCCATTTCTACACCCTCCTATGCTTCACAAGTTACCCCAACCTACTCTTCACTTCATTCAGATCGATCATCCAATTCTCCAGACACCCCCCAAATCTCCCAAGAACTAGATAATTTTATCACCTTACAACAACAACCCTTCCACCTTGACACCTCAACTATAAACCAGATTTCATCAACCATAGAATCATCAAACCCACCTACCCCTACACCCTCTTCAGCTTATACCGCATCACTAGCACCATCATCCACATCCACCGAATCATCAATTAGCACTAATAGAGCTTATCGCACTTTCAAAAGAAAATTCCCAAACCATCCATTTCCAACAAAACCAGGAACAGCCCGTGAATATATTAATCATCCAAATCACACTAACACGAAAGATTTTTTAGCCATCACCTTACCCTCATTTCCACAGTATACTTTAAATACCCCTAACGACACTAACGACACACGTAGTTTTGTAGATGAACAAGTTTTAATGCCTACACTTCATTGGACATCAGATTATCATTTTACTAACCCCCTTTGCCTACCTTTATCTAATACTCACATCGATATAGAACGAAATCAAGATATGCTATATCGACTCACTACACCACTAACACATAGACAATTTACTTACATCGGATATAAAAAATCACTAAAAACATACACTGCACCCCGAGCTAACGAATATACGCTAGAATATTACGATCATAACATCATCCGAACTAACCAAGACCAATTTTTAGATGATGATCGCTTCGCTAACCCACAAATCACAGAAAAATTTTTCATCAAAACACCATATGTTTTTACACTCAATATATTTGATCGCAAATTCGACCACATCATTTCTGAAGCACTAACCGACACACAAGCTTACGAAAGTTTTAAAGAAAGATTTCAATTATTTTCACTAACCTTTCATTTCCTTGCACCACATGAACGAGATTTGCACTGCTCACACGACATTATGTTACGCACTAAACAAACCCACACATATACATATTACCGCTTTATACAAAATCACTTTGACCTACACACTCCATCAAGACAACCACACCATCGTTTTCAATTTATTAACTCTAAATACACATCACCATTTTTTCTTAACTTCACATATTGCATCAAAGATACTAACCTTCACGGTATTCTTCGCAATTATGATCCCATAACCCAAATGTATATTTTTTGTCCCATCACAAAGACCTTCAACGCAGAAGAATCCAGACCCTTCCTTATCCCACATGAATTTGTTCAACCTATAGAAATCCCCATATTAGAATTCATCCACAACACTAAATATAACCACAAATTATATAATCTCATCCAAAACACACCTTATGATTTTGCAGTTGGCACTGAAGAACTAAAAACCATTAAAGCACTTCAATTGCTTTGGCCACTGCTTCAAACTAAAAACATCATTCGCACACTAGCAAAGTTACTAACAAATTCCGACATACTCCACGACATCTTCCCCCACGGTTTTTTCCCCGACGACTAACAGGTAAGTATAATTTATATATATTCTTAACTAACAAATTTAAAATAAAACACTAACCATTCTTTATCCATGTTTTATTTAGATTTTTAGTCTTCATCTCACGATCATCTGCAAAATACAATAAAGAAAAATAAAAAATCGAAAACTTCTTCAAATTCTTAAAAACTCTATTAATATTCTACACTAGATAAATTCAATAAAATTCATACCAATGTAGTAAATTAATTTATAAATTATTTCCCTAAAAGCAGTAATTCTAATAATGGTGAAAATTTGTAACTTAATTTTTCCCCAAAACTAGCAGTAAAATTGAAATTATATGTAATAAATTGATAAAACGCAAATGCAGTACTAACCTTTTGATATTTTCATTCACTCACACAAGAATTCTATCCAAACTCGCACAAGCTCGCCCACGAAGAATTGTTTAAATAATGAATTTCAGTTTTAAGTTTTCACACTCAACAACTCTAACACACGATAACAAGTTTCAAACTTTCCTTTAACCCGGTTGGAAAGGAATTATATACTAAACAAAACTAACCAATGCAGCTTACTAAACACCACAACACATAGAATAACAGCATGACTGAGAAAAGGAAACCAACGGTACCCAAACCGGATTAACCCAGTTTAAAACTGGATAATTTGTTCTTTTGAAGACTATTATAAAGTCTAAGAAAGAAATAATAAAACACAAAAAAGTCGAAAGACAAACCCATACCAAAAACAATTTGATTTTTGAAAAAAGGACACAACCAACGAAACATAAGAAAAACCACAATAAACCTAACATAAAACGTTATCACATAACAAGACCTCTCACAGAAACCGCACGAAATCATACTCCCACTCCTGGCCTAACCCACCAGAGAGGACGTCCTGAGCATGCTCTATAGCCGGCCTAACCCACCGCGCTACATCCACGCTTTGTGACCACACTCCTATTTTTAATAAGAGGTACTCAAGGGTGAGTAACTCTTCAAAATAACCGAACTAAAACAAAAAGCTTTTGTGAAAACAACTAACCAAAATCATAATTAAAACACCAAACTAATAAAAATTTTATAAAATGTAAATTATACCTTGCAGCATATAGATCAGCATACAACACCAAAGACGAACATCCAAAGACAAAATGACCCCAATACACTCGAAAAAGAATACGCCGCCCACAATCACAACTCAAAGGATTTAGAGTACGACTTGACTTCGCAGAAAAGGACTTCATTGAACTAGACCAATGACCACCTCGATGTTCAAGTATACGTACAGATCCGAGTAACCAGGCATCCCCTCCACGCACAATCTCCACGCCATTCCCAGACAAGGTCAAACACAAAGAAGTTCTCTACATGAAACGAAAAAACCTGTCATAGCCAACCATTCTGAAATCAGATTTGAGTTTGTTGCGAAAACCCAGTCGTTGTCATGAGAAGACACAACGATTGAACCTGGAACTTCTCCAACAAGAGAACGCAGACGAAATATGATGTTCGCCAAATACCAACGTCCATCATCCATCCTTTGAATTGCAGAAAGACTATTCTAAAAAACTCTGTAAAACCCGGATGGGTGGAACCTGATCTAAACTACATTTTATGATTGGATAAATTAGATATTTTACCACTGTAAAGTATTTAATATTAACCAATCATGATCCATCAAACTAACAACCCACTTATTTGTAAGTGCTGGAATTACTTGTAATTTCAGCACCAGAGAGATTTGAATTTAACTTAGAAATTAGTTGACTCTCCAAGAAGACTTCAGCAGCCGCAATAAACCAGTATACCCTAGATCTATTGAGCCTAGCAGAGACTAGTTAAACAACCTGAGACTAGATAGTATAAGAGTAAGATTAGGATCGGTATTAGACTAAGAAGTTGCACGAATCTATCCGGCCGAAAATAAGATAGCGTGACGAGCAGACGGTGTACCCTATCCGAAATTACTCTATGAGTTAACCACATCGGTCCTAACTCATCAGCGCAAAACAGTCCGAAAATGAAAAATAATTAACGGCAGTTCCAGCAAACAAAATTAGATAGAAACAATTTTTCTCAATACCTGAAAATCTACAACAAAAATAGACAAAATCGACAAAAAACTGAAGATAAATAAACATTTTATTCTATTTCTATTGCTTTAAATCTTATAATTAACATCTAAAAGCATCATTTCTTCAATTTCTAAAAAATAGTTTTTTCTAAACTCTTTTTGTTTCATTTTATTGATTTTTTGAATAATTTTTCAATTGTAACCTATAAAATAAGAATAGATGCCTAAGAAATAGTTTATGTAAAAATTGTGCAAAATTTATCTATTCCAATTTTAAAAAAAAGAGGTAAATCAATTATAAATAGATGTAAATTGGCGGATCGAGTTTATTTTTTAAATAGCCTGATATTTCGGCACTACATTCAATATCGCCGTCTGAATTTTAATTCCAATATCGATTATATTGACAGTTTTGTGTTCAATTTTGATAATGACAAAAAAGAAAGCCATGATAAACAACCAGGACCACATTATATTTCGTACGAACTTGCTTTGATGTACAAGAAATCATAAACAAGACTGTTTGTATCAGGGCGAAGCCCTGAATGTTCCGACTACCTGTTAAGTAATACAACATGAACAAACTAAATGTAACAAAATAAAAACAATTTTTTTTTCAATTATGAGATTTTTTGTGAAAATCATCCCCCCACGCGCCACATAAAGTCCAGAGTGATAGATTTCGTTCCTAGTAACAAATAAATTGTGGTAAATAAGCTTCCTTCAACCAATTTGGAACGATTTATTAGACGGATTAATTCTCCGCTTACGCGTTAATAGCGCTAAATATGTCGCGCGTTAATTGTCCCAAATTGGCCAAAATGGCAATCTCTAAGCCCCTATAACCTTACAAAAAACGATCCCAGGCGAGATATGTTTTCAAGTTTAAGGTCAGCTCAGGACAACAATACTTAATAAATTCCTTCAAAAATGGCTAGTTAAAAAGTCGAAATTTGTCTGAAGAAAAAAAACCCACCCCGAGCACAAATATTCCGTTAATTTCGTTACGAAAGTCGGACCAAAAAAACCAGTCTAAGAAAAAATTTCCTGATAAAGTGGCGCAATGGAAATATACCTTAAAATAAGAAGACGAAATTAGAACATTTGGGATCTCGTTCAGATTGACGTCATCGATCACAGTGAAGTACTTCTTAGAGGTGGGGTTCAGAGATGCCCAGGACCTGAAACACTCTCTCATCTCCATCACTTCACTTGCGAATACAATATCAGGAAACATGGAAACATAGAAATACAGCTAATAAATTATGATAAGAAACTTGTGAAAAATCTAATGAAGTGTTCATGAAATGGCGCTGGAAAATTCTGAGAACAGAGTTGTCGAGAACAGAGTTTGTATTACATTTTTTTAAAAAATCAGATGCGCTCCACCTCAAAGGCGGATTTATTCGAATGACGATGCAAGCCCCATCATTGGAGAACTCGTTGCCCTCACCCAGGGGCGGATCTAGGATTTTCTCGAGGGGGGGGGGCGGATTTTCAAAAAAAATTCGAAAATTTTGACGACCTTTTTTTTTAGGTCGACCAAGTTGATTTTTCGAGCTCTCCAAAAGCAGTGCTTTGCCCCCATTTTGGCTAAATTTTCTGCGCCGCAGGCAAATTTTTGAAAAAACAGTCAAAAAAAGCCGTTTTTGGGCACTTTTTGAAAAATGTTGACAAAAAAATCGCGTTTTTTTTTGGCGCGCGCTCCCCCTCAAAACTAGTATATATTGGCGCCAAAGGCGCCTTTAGAAAAATTTTTAGGGTTGGTCGGGCAAAAATGGATTTCTGAAAAAGTATCAAAGGGGGGACCCTTTGGGTCGGCAGGGGGTCGAATCCCTGAGGGGGGGGGGGGGGGGGGGGAGGGCGTCTGCCCCCCCCCCTAAATCCGCCCCTGCCCTCACCACCCAAGGAATCTCTGAACAAAAGTGGTCCCAATAGAGTTTCACGCTGAATCCTTATTCGCACTTGTGTAACCTGCTACTATTCTGCTTATGTTTAGCATCCATTTCTGTTTATAATTTTTATCGATCTGAACAGAGCATTTGAAAATCAACATCCCGCCCCCTGAGACACTCCTTTATCCGTCACTATTACCATATGTATCTATTGAAAAACATCCAATGTTTTCTTAGAATATCAATTTGGTATTAAACCACTTTAGGGCCGCATATTTATTGTCTGTTCGCGTGTTTTTGAAAGACTTCTTCTCAAATTTGAAACCATTAATTATGTGAATAGAAAACATACAGGAAAATGAATATGCTGATTACACTTTTGAACACGGCCAATTTTTCTGAAGATCTAACAGAAGCATAATCTTGAGGATACTTGACAGATGTTTTTCAACTTCAAGTTGCCAATTAATCGTAAACTAAAAACATCATACTGGAGAAAATAACGCCCATTGATAATTGCTTACCCTGAGAACTATTGAATGAAAACGAGCAGTAGCGGATTGGGGGGGGGGGGGGGGGGAGAGGAGGCAGACCGCCTGCCGACCAACCAAAAGGGTCCCCCCTTTGCACTATTTTGAGATGTCCATTTTTGGCTAACTGACCTTAAAATTTTTCTAAAGGCGCCTTTGGCGCCAATCTATACTAATTTAGAGGGGGGAGGGGGCGCCGAAAAAACGCGATTTTATGGTCGAAATTTTCAAAAAAAGTGCCTAAAAACGCCTTTTTTCAAAAATTTGCCTGTGGCGCAGAAAATTTGGTCAAATTATGGTCTTTCTAGTGGTTTGGGGTAGCTCAGAAAATCATTTTGGTCGACGTAAAAAAAAGTTCAACAAAATTTTCAAACTTATTTTGAAAATCTGCCCCCCCCCCCTCGAGAAATTCCTAGATCCGCGAGTCAACGAGTCTGTTTTGCCGAAAAGGTGTACGCTCTTAAATGTTTCACATTTAGACTAAACTTCAAATTCAGACTAAGTGTTGCTATATTTTAAATAAAATAATTAAAGTTTGCAAAAATTGACTGCGAGTTTAAGGATACTGATCGGAGTAACGGTATCCCATTTCAACGACAAATTGTCCTTTTTTCAACTAATAATTTTTTTAACTTAAATAAATTTTGCTGAATTGAGCCTTAGTTTGAAGTTTTTGAAACTGTTTATCCCAATAGGCCACATAAGCGCATGAAAACAGTCATATATCAGCTGTTTAGATATAGAGATAGCAGAGATTTCGAAAAGATGATTGACATATCTAAGACTATCAAAAGGAGGAAACAGTTTGGGGTGACGTGATGCTAACCTTTCATCCAGTCTGAAATAAAAGGTAATGACAGGTCAAAACAAAAGGTAGGCTAAAAAGAAAATTTAAAAAATTTTAGAATTTTAGCAGCGGTAATTCCAAGCGAAAACAGTTAAGTTTTCTCTGTTGAAAGGCCGGTGGATCTAGGCTCACCGAGATCTGCTCTTGTGGCTTCTGGGCAAAACAACGCAGCCAGAAAATTAACCAAATAAACAGCATATTATTAACCAGAAAATTAACCAAATAACTGTAATTATTGGGCAAGATCAGAACAATGGTACGTCTTAAGGTGCTGCACAGCTCCTTTCTTTTTAGTGAACACATCGTCTTAAAACGATTTAAACAAAATTGTACAACTTTATAGCAAGGAGCAAGAAAGTCGTTATTTGCTTGGAATTTTGTGCTATAAAACTTCGTGCATTTTACAATTTTTTAAATGACCTCTTAATGGTACCTGTCCATGATGGCTTTTACAGAGTATCGGATGTAAGCCCCCACCCTCTCAACTGAGCAAGGGAGATTGGGGGGCAGACAGTACTGGAACTCGAACACGTGATCACCTTCACATAACTCATCGTGTTCTGATTCTGAAAACAATCAGATACGTAATAAAAGATGGATAAAGACAATTCTCCAAATGATAGATGACCAAAGGATTCTAGCTTGATCAATTTTTGCTCTGATCACTGAACTTGGAAGGAAATAAAGACTACCGGTGATTTTTGATGCAAAATCAGCTACCACCAGTAAAAATTTTAGATGCGGCCAAATGATTTATTACATTGCATCCTTCTGAATCGTGATTCAATCGCTACAGTGACTGACCTGTAGCCTGTTTGAGGACTAGCACATCGTGGAAGTAAGTGTCCAGGTTCTGGTACTCCCTCCTCTGGTCCCCCGTGCCTTCCAGCCACCACACTTTGGCCAGACCATGGAAGCGCACTAGCAACCCTACAGAACAGCCGAAAAACGGGACTTTTTTCTTTTAGTGATTTTCCAAACGAACAAGTTGATTTTCCAGACTTGATAAACATTAACAAAACCTCTTTTGTTAAAAATATCCGCGTAATGAAGAAAAATGATTTCTGGGTTATTAACCATTAAAAAAATAGATATTCAATAGCATTTATCGAGTAAATTATATGCTTCAATATGACCATCGTCCAAAGTAATGTGATGTACCCGTAACAGCAAAAAAAGAAACGTAGAAAAAAAAGAAACTACCAAAATATTTGAACAAAGTTTTGATTGTCTTGATTATTACTTCGTTGTAGATGTGCAGGATCTTGTTTTGTTCCATTTTGTCTATTTATGAGACCAACAATTAATTTTTGTCAAATTTTACAAGAAAATTGGAAAATAGTTGCAATCTATAAGCTTCTGCTATTTTTTCCATGTATCACTTGTATTTGTTTTTGAAAATTTAAAAGTCTTTAGCAAGGCGTCTTTACTTGGTCAGCCAAAAAGGGATGGCAAAAAATTGTGCCAAAAGGGAGATTTTTTGAGAAACTTTAGGGGGTTGAATCCCCTTAAATTAGCCCCTGAGAACAGAAATGCAAAAATTTGGCCTCTTTTTTTACTCCCGCCCCCGCACCGGAGTTCCATGGATAATAATCGATTATAATGGAAAACTGTTGTCTAAATTGATGTCATTATAATCCATTATTGTTGCAAATTTAGACCACGAAATCGATTATTTAGTCAATATAATCGATTATTTTCGTAAAAACACAATCCATTAAAATCCATTTTAATGGAATATAATCCATTTAAAATTCATTATAAATGATTAAAACAGATTATAATCTGTACATTTTTTTGCAAAATCATTTACAAAACTTGCAACATTTCTGCTTTACTTGCGGCCTACTCGCAATCTAAACCTACTCGAATAAACCCCACTATGCCCCCAAGTTACAGTTTACCCCCCCCCCCCCCCCCCCCAGTTTGTATACCATTTTGAACGGGGACGGGAGAGGGAGGTTACTCAGTTGTTCCACCCTCCCCCCATTTTTTACCCCGCCCACGTTCAATAAAGGGGGGTTGGAAACCAAGATGGGGGTGGGGGTGAAATGAGGAGGGGTAAACTGTGAGGGGGGTAAACTGAGGGGGGTGAGGGGTAAACGGGGTATAAAAAACAAAAAATATAAAAATAGAAAAGTGAAATGTAACATTATATGAAACCTATTACGTAGCAACTGCACTAAACAGGAAATGTGATAAATTTGAAAAACTAACCTCTCAAAAAAATTTCATGACCAACCTCTCGAAAAAATCCATTTTTATTGATTATAAACGATTATGATTATTACAATCGATTATATTGGATTATGTTGATATAAAAAATACTAAAATTATAATTCATTTTAGATGAATTATATTCGATTATTTTTTGTAATTTTATAGATACTGACTATAAAATGACAATATAATCGATTTTTATCCATGGAACTCCAGTGCGGGCCCGCACCCCTTCTCTCCTACATTGCAAATTTTCCATTTTCATACTATTATGACTAAACGCGTGATATTTTCTATTAGGTACAAACAACACATGTGCTCAGAATATTTAATAAGTTCATAGGCTAAGTTTTTTTACATTTTGTTAATAGTAAATTAGCTTTTGGTGATAACGTCAAGTTTGCTTTTTGTGATAACGCAAAATTGAGACAAGCTGCAACTCAAAAAAAGAGGGAAACATAAAAATAGTCAAAAAAATAACATCTCAAAGGGCTTAATGGGTAAATGAATGAAAAACGCCTTACTTTTGTAATGTATGGGTTCGGAAAGGGTGAATTTGACGGCTCCTCTAAGCAGCTGCCCCGCCCTGTAGATCGGCTCCTCACTCCTACACTCGTCCCCCTCCCCCGTAAACTGGTCCAGAATCACCTCCAGACTGCGGGGGTTGCGGGGAAAAGGGTGCAAACGCTTTTTTGCTACATGAAAATAGAATTAATTGATAATTAAGGACCTAACTTCTCCAACACAATTTTCTAAAAGCGATTTTTTTCACAAACTTGTAAATTCAAAAAAAACCACTTGGTTAAACATACATGCTACTATAACGTAATAAGTTAAGAATCAACAATTACACCGGCATCTAAATACAACTATAATTTATTTGAATTAAAAAAAAGTATACAACAGTACTTATATGAGACAGAAATAATCTCGAAACGAACTAATCTAGCAAAAAAAAATTAAGTTCAACTTTAATTTTTTAATTTTTTACTTAGATTTATGTTTTCTCAGATTTAGGTTTATTTTGTTCCGTCTATTACAACTTATGTTTGTTACAGATTTCTTTCTCTGACTTTTTTTCTGTTTTATGCTAAACTAAAAAAGCATGTGCAAGCTAAACTAAAAGCTAAATGTGGCAAAATTATTTATCTGAAACGCATAATTCTTGTTTCTAATGGTACCATATGTCGTACGCAGTATTTTGACCTGGTTGCAACAGCCATTCTGCGTAAACATTGGTTCAACTCTGCTGAAAAAATGTTTCGACTAACACGCCAAGATAACTGGCTATGTTCCTTCGCGGAAATTGTTTGATCTTTAAAACAATTTTTTTCCAACTTTGAGGACAAGCTTGTGTTCATTCAATTATTCATATACTTTTTCTGACTTTTGCTAGCATTGTTGGGAAAAGTTAGAAATTTTTCTATGTCCATAATCGAGTTTCCTAAGAACAAGACGCTTTATCATCAACAAATTGCCCTATGTTTAAGCTTCTGATGATTTCACTCCTAAAATAATTTACATAAAGTATGAAAACCAATGGTCCCAACACAGTACCTTGTGGCACGCCATGATTGACTGATTGACTGTTTTCTGGTCAGTATAAGGATTTTGAATTTTTCTACAAATACAAACTTGTTGGTCTCTTAAAAATATTAGAAAAAATTTTAAAAGACTGGAATGGAGAACTAGTAAGATCTAGGAAAAATGGAAATTAAGAAAAAGAAATGAAAGTTGCATTGGTAAAAGTTACAATTGAAAGTCACAAAATTTAGAAAAATTGTCTTTATTTTTCTTGATTGATCCATGTTTTCACAAACCATTTCGATAAAAGAGATAAGTAGTTCAGTCGCAGACGTGCTTTCCTTTTCTGCAATCCATACTCGTGGATGTTTAATAACGAAATTGATTTAAGATAAACCATTTGAGACCATTGTTACACCAATTGGCCTAGAACCTGGGGACACCTATGTGTTATCGTTTTTTTTCTGATGAAATTTATGTGTTATGTTACCTATGTGTTAACCTATGTGTTATCGTTTACCTATGTGTTTTTACGTTGCTGATGGCCTCTTTGAAATTTTCTCTGTCATTTCAAAAAAACAATAGTGAGAAAAGAACTGAAAGACTCGAATGGAAAATTAGCAAGATCTAGATAAAAAACGAAATGAAAAAATGGAAATGAAACTATCAAAACCTAGAAAAATGCATTTATTGTTCTTGATTGATCGATGTTTTAACAAACTGTTTCGGTAAAGAAGATAAATACATCAGTCGCGGATTTTTTTTCCTTTCCTGCAACCAGCATTGGTTGACTTTTAATCACGAATTTGATTTGAGATAAACCATTTGCGCCCAATGTCACACAAATTGGCCTATAGTCTGATGAAACCTTGGTGTTATCTTTTTTGAAGACAATTGATTTTTTTTATGCTTCTTCAAGGAATGATGAAAAATGGTTCTGCATGATACTTACCTTTTTGGCGAATTAACGGTGCGTTCGGAACGCAAAAGTGTCTTGTTAGAATCAGAAAACTTGTTTTTCCATAGGCCTTGAAGATTTGGTTAACCGTAACTTATCTGTTTTCTTCTGTAAATAATGTTTTGTGGCGAAACGAAAGTCATGCACTAGAGTTCTTAACTTTTCTTTTAACTTCCATGGTATACCTTCACCAACAAAAAAAAACAAATTTGCAAAAAAAATTGATTCAACCGATATGCATTTTCATTAAAATGAATCATTTTTTTGCCATTTTTCAAGTCTATTTGGCGAATTACTACTGATTTGAGAATACTTTTTATCTACAGTTTTTTTCTGAGAGAAATCAATGTGATCATTTTATGAAGCATTGCCAAAAATTGTGTGACCGAAATTCTCAGTTTTTTATATTGGCAGTGCGCTGCTTCAAAACGAACTACCTACTATATTTTTGAACTACCTATGTTTATTGCTTACGGAACTAAAGTTTTATCAATCCATGGTTTTTTTATGATGGTTTCCAGTTTTTGATTCAAAGTGTTCTTGCAATATGGAGCATGCGTACTTTTTAACAGAAACCCAAATTCTTTATAATTTTCCAATGACCATCTTTCAAATTCTTTATGACCAACCATAAATCCCAAGGTCTCAAAAGAGTTTTCCCCAAATAAACTTATGGAAATTTTTGTCTCAATTTTAATGATATCATTTTTTTGGCTCGCAGGAAATTATTGTTTCATAAGAAAGCATATAGTGGTTCGTGTTAATGGGTAGTACTGAACTTTTTTGGTTGTTTGAAACTAAGCAAAGGTCATTAATAGAGATTTTTTAATCCGTTACCGGTGATGAAGAGCGATTTTTCAAGTATCGATCTTGCTTAGTTTCAAACAACCAAAAAAAATCTGTTCGTACGATTTGTCATTCAACACAGACCAATATATGACTTCTTATGAAACATTAATTTCTTGCAAATCAAAAGTTGACATCATTTATTTGAGGCATAAGAGTTCCTTGATAGAGAAGTGTCATTTGCGATTGGCTAGACGCGCTTTTTTTCTAGCTAGAAAGACCAAAACTGTGCCAGGTTGTTTTTTTGATTTAGCTAGTAAGTCATGTTTGGATAGTTGTGCCGACTTTCGAAGAAAACGGAATATTTATGCTCGGTGTGGTTCTTTTATTCCACCTTTTATAATTTATTCATATTGCTGAGAGCGTAACGCAAATTTTTTATGCGTGGCGAATTATCCCGCAGAACAAAATCGTTCCGAAATGAAATGAGGCTAGCTAATCAGATCGGTAGCATTAATTTTGTACGACTCAACATTTCACACTTTGATATTGTCTAAAATTTATAGGTTTTCATATTTTTATTTTCCTAAAAACTATTCGATATGAATTAAGGAACAGTCGGAACATTCAGGGTTTTGCTCTGATACACGAGCAGTCTTGTTCTTCCTATTTACAGGAACATCTTTATGGCCGGCTAAACCGAACCAAATAGCCGTCCATAGATTTACGACTCCTCTGGTCCATGACAATAATTAGAAGATTTCATAATTTAGAAGATTTTATAAGACGTCTCAAAAATTTCAAAGACAAAAACAAAATATTGAAATGAGAGAAAAGAAACAATATTTGGAAGAAGAATGCGGGTTTTGCCCCAAACGGGGAAGACAGCCGTTAGAACAATATGATTTTAATACCTTCTTTTCAAGCTCTAGGTCTCTACGGTGCACGTGATTTTTTTTCAACACGATTTATGTTGATGTTCTTGTTGAACAACAAGGTGAATTGAGTTTCATGTTTTGGGCCTATCAACGGAAAAGCTTGTGAAATATTTGCTGCACTAACGCGCAGAAATTTAAAATCATTGCAACTAATGTCCAGTCTCGCCGGATGTATATGGACGCCCATAAGCAACAGAATATAAAAAAATACATCGAGGTTATGAAAAAAAAATTACATGACAGGCAGTACCTTAACTTGACAAGGCTTTTTAAACAAAACCTGTTGAAGCTGAAGAAACTAAAATTTGCAAAAAAACTTGCAAATGTTCGTAATTTTTTTTAATGTTTAATTTTTCTAGTCAATTTTCTTTAAAAAATGGTCCAATTGGCCTATTTTACTATAACTGTCTGACAAATATGCCTAAACTATAGTTTTACTTCAGATACATTTATCACGCCACGCAGAAAAAACTACACAAATTTGAAAAAAGAAGTTTTTTGTAGTTTTTTGAAGAGTATGTTGGAACATTCTGTGCTACCTGCACAATAACCGGCTATCCTTGTTTTTTATTCCGACAATTGAAAAAGGGAAGATCTTTATATTCGGGTCTGTTTTAGTTTTTTTCTTTTTCTTTTTCTTTTCCACGCGAAATCAGGTACCACAACTAATCATCGAATTGAGTTGAGTCATAAATCATATTAATGTCGTGATTCGAACCACATTCAAAATTTCCCAAAAACTTCCCAGTTTTTGATTTTTTGTTTTATGTCGAGCAAATTAAGAAAGCGAGCAAGATAACATCAGCTTAATTTTGCCTAATTTAAGTCTCAAAAAGTAGTTTTCAGGAAACAAAATCAGTTTTTGGAGTTTTTAGCTCTATTTTCAGAAAAATTTTCAGAAAAATATTTGGCATAAAAATTTGTATTGAAAAAAATGTTGTAAATGTTTTTATTTTTTTTCTAGTCATCTTTTTATAAAAATTATCCGGTTGGCTTATCTTACTATGGCAGTCAAATATGCCTAAGCAATAGTTTTGTGTCACATCCCTTTATCACACCACGCAGAAAAAAACACTAATTTGAAAAAAATACGCTAGGGTTCTAACATTCTGTGGTACTTGCACACTAACCGGCTATCCTGGTTTTTTCTTTTTGTTTTCCACGCAGAATCAGGTACCACAAATAATTATCGGACTGGGCTGAGTTATGTATCATATTAAAACCCTTTCAGTCGTGATTCGAACCACAATAAAAAACACCTAAAAATTATTTCTAGTGTCAAGAAAAACCGGTTTGTAACTTTTTATTTCTCGTCTTAATTCGAGCGAAAAAATAACATTGCAATAGCTTATTTTAATGGCTTAAAAATTTAATGGTTGAATAGGAAAATTTAATTTCTTTTCAGTGTTTAAGCGCTTTTCTCGAATCAAAAACTTTACACGTTCAAAAAACTGCAAAAAGAATTGAAAAACGTTTTAATTTTTTTGTT